AAACAGGTGTGTTCCTATGGGGTCCTGGGAGAAGGCCTTCCCTGCAGACCCGGTGGCAAGAATCAAAACAATCAGGGAAGAGATGAGAGGGTATGAGGGGAGACGCAGAAGCAGGAGAGGATAAGGAAGTTAGGAAGCATTCTACATAAGAAAAGCAGGCCTCGTAGCACAGGCTTGTCATCCAAGGCTGAGGCAGGAGGGTGGGAAATGAAGGCCCTCCTGAGCTACAGCGTGAATTCAAGGCCAGTGTGTAACTTAGTGAGCCCCTGCCCCAAAACAAAATGTAAGCAGAGGACTGGGGTGTAGTTCAGTGATAAAGCACATGCCCAGGAGAAGCAAGGCCCCAAGTTCCATTTCTAGTATCCCAGTATTATAACAAAAAGAAAATAAGATGGAGGGCACATTGGGAAATGGCACAGAGAAGGAGATGGGAAATTACAGATGCCCACCCCCTCTGCTCTTGCTCCTATGGTAGTCACGCAGACATAGCAGGCTGGACCAGCTTTGCTGCAAGTGGTTTGCCCTGGATTTGGCCTATAGGAGGGTAAGGGAGGCTGAGGACAGGTGAGGCACTTTCAAAAGCACAGTCCTAGAGTCCTAGGCTGATGACTAGGACCTGGACAAGGGCTTCCACAAAACATCCAGGTTCTGCAGAGAAAATGGGACCTTGAAACAAAGGGAAAGTCACATGATTGTACTAAGCCACCAGGGGGCTTAGGTAACAAGGTATCCACCTCCTCACTTGGTCATTCTTTGTTAGGTTTTGGTATCCAAATAAACAGGAATAGCCAGATTTTAGCCGCATTTGGCAGACAGTGGTAGGTCAGTGAGGGAGGCCGAGAATGACGGCTGGGTATCCCCTCACCATCACTGCCATGTCTTCCCTGTGACCTCAAGCATTATGTGAAGTTTCTTAATATGCAAGTTTTTTTTTTAAAAAAAAATTAACTTCATGGAAACTGGAGAGATGGTTCCGTGGTTAAGAGTGCCAGTTGTTCTTCCAAAGGACCTGGGTTCAATTCTCAGCACTCACATGGTGGTTCATAACCATCTGTAACTCCTGTTCCAGAGGACCCAATGCCTTCTTCTGGCTTCTGGGTACACCAAGCACACAAGTGGTACCCATAAACAAAAGCAAAACACCCATACACATATACATAAAACACAAGTTGAAAATTAACTTCATGGCCTGGGGAGATGGCTCAGTGGTGAAGAACACTTGTTGTTTTTGTAGAGGACCCAGGTTCAGTCCCTAGCATCCACATGGTGGCTCACAATTATCCATAACTCCAGTGGCAGGGCATTTGATATTCTCTTCTGACTTCCACCAGTGATAGGCACATACATACATGCAGGCAAAACCATTTATACACATAGACTAAAATTAGTAAGTCTAAAAAAACTTCAGTTAACTTCACAATGCAACATAATGTGTGTGTGTGTGCGCGCGTGCGTGTGTGCGTGCGCGCGTGTGTGTGTGTGTGTGTGTGTGTGTGTGTGTGTGTGCAGGAGAGGGAACAGAGAGAGAGAGAGAGAGAGAGAGAGAGAGAGAGAAATAATTGGACCTTGAGTCTCATGCATACCAGGCAAGTACACTCTACCACTGAGCTATGTCTTCATTATGTGTGTGAGGGATGAGGGAACAGGTCTCTCCCTGCCCCCTTTGCAAGGTGAACTTGGTTGACATGTTTCACTTGATGAATAAACTCCTCAGGAACCAACACAGGAAGAATTTTTTTCTCTCACAGTTTGAAGCAATTTCATTAAATTCTGTGTCATCCATTCATCCATTCACTTCCACATTCGCTGAGGTAAAATATATTTACACAGGGCTTTGTGTATACCGAGTACTGTAGTGGCTGTTAGGGAGGAGCTGCGGGCAAGACAGACTCGGGTTCTAGCTGGAGCTCACTTGCCAATGGAGAGAGTGATGCTGGCCAGATGGAATCTAGAAACAGCAGAAAGAAGGTTCCAGGAGAGCTGAGAGAGTGATCGTGGACTGGGCTGGTTCTTTGAAGTCTGGAGAAATGGGGGGATCGGGAAGGAAGGATGCACTCTTCCCTGGTGGAGGGGGTGTACAGCAGAAGGCACAGAATAGGGAATTTTCAAAGGAAAGAAAGAAGGTAGTGTGGCCATCATGCCAAAAGCAAATGACCAAAGATGCTGAAGGGACAGGTAAAGGTAAAGATGGATGACTCAGAAGAAACCTTCCAGGGTCTGAGAATTTGTGGAGAAGTGAGCCTAAGCAGGAGGGTGACAGACATGACTGATCAAGAATTCGCTCTGACCACCTTTTGGAGGACCCTCGACAGGAAGTCTGCATCAGTGTGGAAACCCCAGCCGGGAGGTGGGGGCAGAGAGCCAGGAGGAAGAGCGTGGTCTAAGTTGGAGAGCTGAAATTTTCAGTCAACCGGCTGTACCCATCAACACCACCTGTGTTTGCACTTCAGAAACGGAAGGGCCAGGTGGGGTGTCTGGATGGAAGTGCTCATGTGTCAAGACATGTATTACATAGAGGAACGTCTTTGATTGACAGATTGCCAGGATAGGAAAGGATATTCTTAATATCTCCCAGGCCCGAATATGATCTTCACCATTCCCTGCCAACAGGATCCCTGAAGGAGGCCTCCTTCCCCTTTGTGGGGAGCCCCAGTCCATCTCTCCCCGAAGAGTTCACATAGAGGTTTGGGTTCTACCTCGTGAAGTGAGAGACAGACTGACTACAGGACACGCTCCGTTCATACCATTCCACACATACAGAGATCTGATGGTTCCTTTACTGCAGTTTTAGGCATCTATTCTATATGTACCAAGCTAATTAAGACCATAGCTACAATACTAATCCTATAATACTGTAACTGTCTCCTAAGATCATTTATCTACCTCCACATACACGCAGCTTTGTGTAGGGGTATACATTCATGTTCATGGGGGTATGTGCACGTGTGTACAGACCAGAAGTCAACTTGGGTGTCTTCATTAATTACTCTCTGTCGTGTGTGTGTGTGAGTGTGCACATTGTATACACACGTGTGTGCAGGCATATGCACCTGTGTATGTATGCACATAGGCCAGAGGAGGATGGGAGCACCCTACTCTCTCACTCTCTACCCACTTGAGACAGGGCCTCTCCTTGAACCTGGAGCTAAGCTGGTGGCCCACAGGCCCCAGGGATCTTCCTGTCTCCATCCCTTCTCCACAGCTGTAGGGTTACAGGCATGGGTGCCATGACTAGGTTGAGAATTTAGAATCCAGGTTCTCACACTTGAGCTGCCAGCTCTTTACCCACACAGCCTTTTCCCTAACCTCTCTCCATATTTTCTTCGAGACAGGGTCTCTCTGAACCTGGAACACATCCATCTGCCTTGGCTGATTGGTCAGTGAGCTCCTGGAATCTATCCTCTGTCTGTCTCAAACAGTCCGTCCAGCCCTGAGGTTACAGGTGGATGACACCGTGCCTGGCTTTTAATATGAGTGCTGGAGATCAGAATGTACGTCCTCATGTTTGCTTGGTAGGCATTTTACCTGAAGCTTCTTACACTCATATTACTGCTGAACTGGCTTCCAGCTTCCCTACACACACACACACACACACACACACACACACACACACACACACACTTACACACCTTCTCTGGTGCCAGTGATGTTGGGGTGCAGCTCAGGCAAATGTTACCTGTATCCTCATTCAGTGAATTCCCTCTCTCCATCTTTTAAGTCCCCTGCCAGTACCATTTAATAAGTCTGGAACCATTACGACTAAAATTAGCCCCAAACACCCCTTGGCATCTTATCAATGAGGTTCTCAACATAGGAGGGGTAGTGCTAGGAGTAGGACCAAGATGAGAGAATTGTTTCCTTCATTTCTCATTCTGTTCTTGCAAACAATGGGAGGGATGGCCAATTCATTTCAACTGATAGCCGGTTGACCATGCCACACTTGAATAACTTAGTTCTCTCTTCGATGTCACCAGTAAACAGCCTCCTCCCCAAATCAGTCCTTCAAGATGTCAACGTAGTCATTGGTCTTAATCTTCTGGCCACTGCCAGGAACACAGTATCACCTCAGCCAGGTCAAGCCGCTAGTCGGGGCTGAACAACCGAACCCTGTCCCTGCTCCAGCTCGAGAAATGAAATATGAAACACAAGCAGTCACATCCAACCCAGCAGCCCAGACCGACCTGGTTCTGGGTGGCTCTCATCAGAGCTTCCAACCTCAACAAAACCAGAGAGACCCAGTGCATTCCGAGGGACACACCATCCATTCATCCTGCGAGTCCCGCAAACACCCAGGAAGTTTTTAGCTAGGTTGCAGGAGGACAGAGGGAATTCCTGGAAGATGAAGTTTAAAGAGAATTTTACTTACATGTATGCGGGGAGAAGCGATAGAAAAATCTAGATGCTGGCCTCAGATACAAAAGCACAACGTTTTTATGTACTAATGGGACTAGGGGGCCTCCACAGGTGGGGACTGCGAAGGTGGGCTCGGCTTCCTGGCTCTGCCGAGAGTATAATAGTTTATAGAATGGCTCGGGGAGAGGTAAGACTTAATCAGAAGCAAAATCGTCTCTGCAAAGTGGAGCCAGGGAGGAAGAAGGGGAAGCAAGAAGGCGAGTGAGTGGGAGCAAGGGAGAGCCTGCGAGGGGATGCAAAATCCTATGTTCTTTTCTGCCAAAGGTTGACTGACTTGTTTCAACCTGGCACCCGCGTGGCTCAGAACAAAAGCGCTCGGCTGGGCCTCCGCGTGGGGAGAGGGACCACGCATACCTTGCAGTGTGTAGGAGGAGAGCAGGTCAGCTGCCGCTCACAGAGGGGAGGAAGCACAGAGGTGGGATTGGGAAAGGTAGAACAGTGTACCACCACTGTCCCCATCCAGCCTGGCACACATCTGACACAGGCCCTGGTGTCCTGAAACACTCTCAGGGGTGACTGAGGTTCAGTCACAAGAATCCAGCTGGTAGTCACGCTCCAAGTGCGGGCGCTGCACGGTACCACTTTACCTGAGCGCAGAGGGTCATCCGGAGAAGCCATGAAGACCGGGAGAGGACAGACGAGTGTCTGAGCGGGGTTGGGCAGCCTCTGGGACCCCAGAGAACAGCAGGATCGCCGAGATCCAACCTCTTGCTGTAGCAATGCGCGACTCTACAGCTCTGCAGTCTGCCCTGCCGCTGCTGCTCCTCCTCCCTTCCCTCCTCTTCTTGATCTCTGCCACTTCTTCCTCGTGCTCACTTCCTGCAATTAGCAAAGCCCCTGCCCGGCGCGAGCGTCTCTCCAGAACTTTGGAGAGGATTCCGTGGTTGCGGTTGGGCACTAGAGGACTAGGGGGCCCAGAGCACGTGTCCTGCCAGTACCTAGAGCCTAGTGCACACGTCCCACCACGGGGACACACGCGATCGCAGCTGAAGGGTCTTTCAGTCAGCCTGGCATCCGCTGCCGCACGCGCGGGTGACTTTCCTGGTTCCTAATCTCGCCCTCAACTAGGACACCAAAGCGCTCCCAGCGTGCTCCTTGCACAGGCCCGGGCTGAGACGCCTGCCGGCGATCTGATGTTTGAACAGTTTCCTAATCTTCAGGCAGCCTGAAAGGCTGCATGACCGCACACGCTAGCACTTTCTATTTTGATGTTTCTTTGGCATGAGTTACTGCCTGGCCTCCTGGGTGAGCGCTACACAAAGGAGAGGGAAGAAAAGTCAGTCGCAAAGTCTCTTGCTCTCTCCTCTGGTGGAAAAAAAAAAAAAGCACAGTGTAGGGTTCTGTCAGAAATGAAGAACCCATTGACCTTTGAGCAAATTAAATTTTACTTTAAGTGGGATTTGATGCTAAGTGAGCAGAGAACGTGATCGTTTAAAATGGCTATATTTTATTTTATTTCAAATTTTTAAAAAGTTATTTTTATTATTTTTAAACGGTCTGGGTGGTTGTGTACACGTGAGTGCAGTGCCTGCAGAATCAAGAAGAGGGCATTGGGTCCCCAGGAGTTGTAGGTGGTTGTGCCATTCTAGGAACTGAACTTGGGTCCTCCGCAAGAGCAATAAGCACTCTTAATGCTAAGCCACCTCTCCAGCTCAAGCGGCTATATTTTCACTAACTATATCTGCCTTATACAAAGGCTACAGATAACTTAAACTTAACAGGAATCTCTGAAAGGTATCACATAATCGATATGTGCCCTTGGGCGTAATCATAGAACCATAAAAAGGAGTTTAAAGGAGACAGCAGCCAGGGATGTGGTTCAGTAGCAGAGCGCATGCCCGGCTTGTGTAGGCCCTGGGTTTAAAACCTAGTACGGCAAAAATAAAAATTTTAAATTAAAAGTTTATTTTAAGCCCTGCCTGATGACGTACACTTGTAATCCCAGCACACAAGAGTTTGAAACCAGCCTGAACTTTATAGTGTGATACTATCTTAAAAAGGAAAAAAAAATGTGTGTGTGTGTGAGGGGGTGGGAAAACCCGGTCTTCAGAGAGTTCAGAGATAAGGCTACAACGTGGGACTGTGTGGAAGGGAGGGATCACAGTCCTCGTCAGAGCTCACGTAGGAAGGAAGTTATTTTAGAAAGGGTATTTTCTCAGGGAATCTATTTTGAGGTTTGGTTTGTGGCTCCTTCTGTACTTCACGTAGAGATGGAATTTGTTTCTGAGGTTTGATTGTCGGGAACCACATATCAAGTTGGGCTGTCTTGTTAACACAAGATCAAGTGGTTAGTTTTTTCCCAGATGAAACTGTAAATAAGTCTTCTGATGTCACCCACCCTTCATTGAATGGAAGACGATTCTAGAAATGTGTGTTGTCTTCTCCCTTTCTCTGTGTGTGTACGTGGGTGAGTGTGTGCCTGGGAGCCAATGTAGAGGTCAGAGGGTAACTTGTCCAAGTCAGTTCTCTCCTTCCACCATATGGGTCATGGGGATCAAACTCAGGTCATGAGGCAGGGCAGCGAGCATCTTCCTTTACCTGCTGAGCCTAGCTCATTGTTTCTTCTTCCTCCTCCTCCTCCTCTTCTTCTTCTTCTTCTTCTTCTTCTTCTTCTTCTTCTTCTTCTT